GTTTGCACTGTTTGACCTATTAAGCTTGTTAGCATTTCCATTTGTGTTTTATTCTATAAACTACTGACAACATCTCTCCCAAACTCCAAACAAAACAAAGAAGTCATTTAGAGCATTTATTTGCAGAAAATTACAACTGGTCAGAATAACAGAGAAAATGCTGTGTTTTCAAACCTCAAATAATGCAAATAAAACAAGTTCCTATTCATTATTAAACAACACAATGCTAATGTTTGAACTTAGGGAGAGTTCAGAAATCAATATTTGGTGGAATAACCCAGATTGTTCAATAACAGCTTTCAATGCGTCTTGGTTGCTCGCCACCAGTCTGTCACATTGTTGCTGGGTGACTTTATGTCTCTCCTGGCACACAAACTCAAGCAGCTCGGCTTTCTTTGATGGCTTGTGACCATCCATCTTCCTCTGGATTCCACATCCAGAGGTTTTCAGTGGGGTTCCAACTGTTCCATGACAGGGTCTTGATCTGGTCTTCCTCCATTCACACCTGAATTGAGCTGAGGGTGGGTTTATCCAGCAGGACAATGCTCCATGCCCCACAGCCAGGTCAATCCAGATGTGATCCAGAGGAATATGAATGGTCACAAGCCATCACACAAAGCCGAGCTGCTTGAGTTTTTGTGCCAGGAGTGGCTTAATAAGTGACCCAACAGCAATGTGAAAGGTGGTGCAGAGCAGCCAAGACGCATGAAAGCTGTGATTGAAAATCTGGGTTATTCCACCAATTATTGATTCCTGAGCTCTTCCTATGTTAAAACATTAGTATTGTGTTGTTGAAAAATGAATTTTAAATTGTTTTCTTTGCACTATTCGAGGTCTGAAAACATTCCATCTTTTTTGGTTACTTTGAACATTTGGTATTTTTTGTAAATAAACGCTCTAAATGAGAATATTTGGAGTTTGGGATAAATGTTGTCAGTCATTAATTTATAGAATAAAACACAAATGTTAATCCAGTTTTTTTTTTTTAAACGAGAGAAACTGATCATTTTACAGAGGTCTCTTAATTTTTACAGAGCTCTACATATCTTTATATATATATATATATATATATATATATATATATATATATAGAAAAATTGCTATACTTTCATGTTTCAATGTTCTCAGGAAAATGTATGGTACAATATTTTTGTCAGTTTGTATAGGAAGCTAAATTTCATTGTATCCAAATGAAACACTCAAGTTTTAATAAAAGGTAAAACTTTATTTTTGTGTCTTTTTCTTTTTTGTAGTTGAATAAAAAATATAAATACGAAATGTAACCACTTTCAACTAAAAATTCTAAGTTAAATAATTGGGCAAAGCAATTGATATTACACAATATTTTAAGTAAAATCAACTTCACATGAAGTGCATTGTACTTCAAATAACAATTCCAGTCCTTGAATAATTTAAGTGAAATTCACTCAAGTTTTCCAAATGCGTTACTTAAAAAAATAGAAAGTGGTTGACTTAAAAATGTAAGTAAAATCAACTTGACATGAAGTGGATTGTACTTCAAATAACAATTCAAGTCCTTGATAAATGTAAGTTTAATTGACTCAAGTTTTCATAATGCTTTACTTTAATTATTGAGGGCAACCACTTTCCTCTATTTTTTTAAGTTGATTCAACTTATCCGGGCTTACAGTGCATACTTCTCGTTTTCTGAAAGCTGGTCTGTCTACCTGTAAAACCGCATCATCAGGCCTGAAGCCCGGAGTACTCGAGTACTCTGTATAACTTGTATATGTGTTTGGTTTCCTACTAGAAGTAAACTCAGATAATTTGTTATAACTTTGATTCCGGTGTTTTCAATTCCTTTCTTAATTTAATAGAGATCCAGCCTCATCCAACGAACGGCGCGTAGCAGAGGTATTCTACTCCAACAGGACCCGTACTATACATTTCTAAAATTCAACTTTGGGGTTCTCAACATTTCCAGGTTCACAGAGCTGGCAACTAGACTAAACCAGTAGATAAAGAGAGCCACAGAGCTGATCAATCCCCTGCTCCCAATTTCCACCTCAAAGAAACCCACTCAGCCCGGTTCCCACTGATCACTGCGCTCCTGCAGATTCAAACATCACGGTCTGTAACTCCAGTTCCATCTGAGCTGTGTGAGCAATCGCTGGTGTTTGAACGCAGAGGAAATGAAGTGAGAGGTCAGGAGGATATAAATCAGCTGTTTGCATGCTGACAGAGCCATTAGCAGCCAGTAGGAATCATGCTAACTCTCATGCTAACTCATATTGGCTTGTCACACATAGCATGTCTCCGATAATGAGGTGAAACATGTCTTTGGAGGCCTAACCTGAGCTCTGTAGCGTAAAGCTGCGCCTCAGCTGCACTGAACAACTAGCATGCATTCTATTTCAATGTAAACACTGCTATATTTGACTATATTTTTGTAATGTTAATGTTATTAGCTAGAATTGCCTTTCTAAATGTGTTTACATTATAATTGTAAGGCAATTTTAAGGCAAACTATTCCATTAATTACACTTACCTGGAGTTTTACTTTAAACAAATGTTACTTTGGGACTCAATAAATACCAAAAACCTTTCGTTAACATCCATAAATGATTAAATTACCTCTATTTATTGTTTTTATACATCCTTCTATGCCTTTTGTGTTATCATTAGCCAATATAAATGTCTATTACTCCATATATTAGAATCAGACCGTGGCAGTGTTTCCATTTCTCTGTTGGGATTACAAAGGAAGCCTGAACAGTGAGCTGTTGCCATGTGGCGCCCTCTAGTGCTGCATGAGGTTCAGTGCACCAGTAAAGCAGCAGGGGTCATCCAGTTCACAGCTTTTCTTAATGGTTTTGGCTCATTAATGGAAACAGGGATTTCTAAACCGAAGGTGCATTCATCATAACAGCATATCATGTACAGCACAACCACAGCTTTCCCTCAAAAGCACATAACCTACCTTATAGAATAGAATGGGAGGGATGAAACCCTCTGTAATGGTCACACATGCAGAGCACACAGCACACAGTGACATTTGGCCTCTGCTTTTAACCCACCCGAGTACCAGGAGTCTAGTACCAGGAGTCTAGAACCAGGAGTCTAGCACCAGGAGTCTAGTACCAGGAGTCTAGTACCAGGAGTCTAGCACCAGGAGTCTAGCACCAGGAGTCTAGCACCAGGAGTCTAGCACCAGGAGTCTAGTACCAGGAGCAGTGGGCAGCTATTGTACAGCGCCCGGGGAGCAATGGGAGTGAGGGGGGAAGGGGGGAAGGGGGGTGTCCGGTGCCTTGCTCAAGGGCACCACAGCAGGGCAGGAGGTGAACTGGGACCTCTCTTATGTGACTTAATGTCTGTCTGGCTATAGATTTCAGGATGAGTTATTCTGGATGGAGGCAGTCTATATAGTAGAGAATAGAGAGTTAGGATTATTATTGTTCGAGTTATGTTACTGTATTCTGCATTCTTAGTAAAAAGCACAGAACTGAATCATGAACGGCTTCTAATAGTGTGATTGTCTCTGAACCCGTTTTACTTACACCCATGTTCACTAACCTGATGTGTTTTTGCTACAAGGAGCAGCTCTTGTAAAAGGCGCTGTGGCTTAGCTGGTCAAAGCACCCGTCTATTAAACAGAAGGTCCTGGGTTCAAATCCCAGCAGAACCGGACCTCAGAACTGTAGATCCCAAGTTCTTGATGTACTCCACTGACAGAGTAGGACACTAGGACAGACTCACTGCTGGATAGCTCAGTGTTTAGAGCTGGCCGCCCATACGCTGAATGGCTGCCAAAGACGCTTGTTCAATTCCCAAGAGGAACATTTCAGGCGATGCCATCCCCTCTAAAAGAGCAATCTCTCCCACTGAGCTTTTGCTCCTTCATGTCCTTTGGTTTGGCGCCTGGCCGACGCGCTCACACATCACACAGAGAGATATTGTTTGTTTCAGTACATTTATTTCCACATTATCCTTTACATGTCTGTTCTTCACTGTTCTCTTCTTTTAACACAAATAAAAGTGTCTTACCAGACGATGATGGAGACAGTTACGTCACATCAAATAAAACAACTTCAACTTATAATTTCTCTGAAGTGCAGCGGTCTAAAAACCGTATGGCTTCACAACCAAAATGAACCCAGAGTATCGTGAGCTGGACTCTTTTGTACCAGCTGAGGCAATCACAGCGTCAATCAGCTGTTTCCTTTAACGCATGTGAGGATCACAATTAATTTACATTAATTAACAACCTTTTCCATTCCATAACCAACATTCAATATTTTATGCATAATTAAACGATTAAATAATCAAAATAGTAAATCAATGTTTTGGCTCCTATACCCTCTATCTCCCCCCTTCAACGATGTGTCTCCAATAAAGACATTATCTGGCAAAACAGATCTATAAAAACAAACTAGTAAGTCCTTTATCCGCTCCTATTTATTTGTTCTAAAGTGATGTGGCAGCACTTCTGTATCTTAGCCAATTACCTTTTCTTCCATTTCCATATTTACCAAATGTAAGGAAATGCATATTTTTGTTTTTTAACGAGAGAACACAGCTGTTAAACAGTGAAGTCATTTATACATTTCTACAAGAACACATTTCCTAAAGAGCGAGCAGCCTGCAGTGAGTTACATTCGCGTTATAAAGGAGAACATGAAAACTCTTTCCTGTACGAGGCGTCTCCACATCAGCAGGACATCTAAAGCATGTCCACTGCAGGAACTCTGCTGACCCAGGGTCAGTTCTTCAACTACACACAGACCCCCCTCAACAGTAAACTGAGTCCTCTTTCTGCACAGATATTCATGCATTTCATTTGAAAGACATCACATCTTAAAGGTTACAACAATATCTGATCTCATAAAGACTACATGCACACAAGCCTTACAGTTTCAATGACACCAGGCAGAGCTCCTTTTAGAAGAGTTAGACATCAATGGGAACATTTGATTGGACATTAATTAACCCGGGGTGATAAACACAAACTAGTCACATTTCTTCTCTTTCTGACTTAGTCCTCAAAGACTTTCAGAGCGTCTCCAAGAGAACCCCCTTGCTTTGATTACAGGGAGAACGTCTTCCCCCCCAAACTCAGGATTATGGGATGTCACCGGACCCTTGTTGAGATGGACACGGGTCAACAGGTAACCCTCTGGGACCTGGAAGAGAAACAGGGAAAAACGTTGGTTATAAAACCAACAGCAGATTGTAGACAGGCTTTTTCAACTGATAGAGGAGAGTATTTGTTCCACTGGATCAATACTATCTGATCTGCTCTCACCTCTCTGTACTGAATATACAGACAGCGGTGTGAAGTAACTAAGTACATATACTCAAGTACTTTACTAAAGGACAACTTTAATATATTTGCCTCAATATTTAAATGTTTTGATACTGTGTACTTCTACTCCACTACAGTTCAGAGGTAAACGGTGTACTTGTACTCCACTACATGTATTTAATCCCTTTAGTTACTTCACAGATGTGGATGAATGATGTGAAATATAATCAAGTGTTAAATCAGACTTTAGTTCCACCTGGACCAATCTGCACAATGACTACTTTTACTGTCGCTACTTTAACTATATTTTGATGAGAATACTTTTCTACTTTTACTTGAGGAACATTTTGAATGCAGGACTTTTACTGAAACAGAGTATTCCTACACTCTGGTACTTCTACTTTTACTCAAGTACAAGATCTGAGTACTTCTACTTTTACTCAAGTACAAGATCTGAGTACTTCTACTTTTACTCAAGTGCAAGATCTGAGTACTTCTACTTTCACTCAAGTGCAAGATCTGAGTACTTCTACTTTTACTCAAGTGCTAGACCTGAGTACTTCTACTTTCACTCAAGAACAAGATCTGAGTACTTCTACTTTTACTCAAGTGCAAGATCTGAGTACTTCTCCCACCTCTGAATAACATGTGTTATTATTTGAAACTGTGTACATTACAATATATGCAAAAACAACTTCTCCCACCTCCAGAAAAACAATAACCAATAATTACATTTATTCACTGATGAAACTTCAATAAAAAAACTTCACACGGTACGACCTCTCACCTTTCTGTCTTCACTTCCTGTTCTGGAGTCACCAGGAGAAAGATAAAGAATAATGATAATATTTACAACATGAACAAAGAGAAACAGCAGCCAAAATGATGAAGAGAGAAAAACAAGAGTGTTGTTTTCCTCTGAGGTCATGCTCCATGAAAGAGTTTCATATCTTGATGAATGGAGGATATTCAGTACTCACAGGTCTTCTGGATCTTGGCTCTGATCGTCTCATCTCAGATCCTGTAGGGATGAACACAATCCAACAGTTATAGATCAAGTCTGAAATAAGTGTTTGTTCTTTGAGTTAGTCAGCTTCAGAGTCCTGACTGATCTCATGCTTTACATCCCATCATATCTTCTCTGCAAACACTACGACTGACTGCCACAGCTCTCAGCTGCATCACAGGAAGTAACCAGTCATTAGTCTAGAAACTAAAAAAAAACAGACTACCTTTTCCACTCTTCTGTAAAATCCCTTATGTCTGGTGGAAAGTTGATTACTCATTAAAGTTTGTCTTTGCATGTTGAGCTGGCCTTCTATAGTTGATGGAAGAATGAAAGAGCCTGCAGTCAGTGGGTAACATCACTGATCTGTTGTGATTCCCCAGTGAGAGAAACACCTCCCTGTGTTTCATACAATACTGCTGAACCAGCAGAGACCCCTTACTGACCTGAGGGTCTCCAGTCTGCAGTCTGGACTCTCCAGAAGATCTCTCAGCAGCTTCACTGCTGAATCCTGCAGAGCGTTGTCACTCAGGTCCAGATCTCTCAGATGGGAGGGGTTGGACTTCAGAGCTGAGGCCAGAGCAGAACAGCTGATCTCTGACAAACTGCAGCCCTCCAGTCTGAATAAAGAAAACATGATGAGGATGAAACTCCATTTATAATCCAGTAAGATGTTAATCAACATTGAAATGAATGGTAACAGAAAAATATATCTTCTTCAGAAAGTAAACTTTATCATGTAAAACTAATATTACTTCAGATGACCTTTATTCAGACGTTATCGTTTACTAAATATTAAATACATAGATTTACTTTTTACAACTAACATGCATTAAGTTTCTTTAGGAAACAGTCAACAAATCTGTCTGCAGTTCTTCATTTAGGACCTAAAAATGAAAATATTAATAAAAGGACATTTACTACTTTATGGATGCAAGTTAAGAATGTACATAAATTAGGTTCAATAACAAACATATTATCTCCAGCAGTAACAGAGAGTCAGTGAACTGACCTGAGAGTCTCCAGTCTGCAGTCTGGAGTCTCCAGAAGAGCTCTCAGCAGCTTCACTCCTGAATCCTTCAGATCGTTGTTACTCAGGTCCAGATCTCTCAGATGGGAGGGGTTGGACGTCAGAGCTGAGATCAGAGCAGAACAGCTGATCTCCGACAAGCTGCAGTTCCTCAGACTGAATAAAGAAAACATGATGTCACTTTAGAAAACAATGTTCCTGTTTGAAATAACTCCAGGTTTAATAATCTGATCAGAGTTAAACAGGGTTTTAATCTCAGAGATGATGTAGAAACAATCCACTGATAATGTGGAACTCTAACTTTGATCAGATCTTTAACAACTCCTTCATCTCCCTCACAGCTCATCAGTACTGACAGCATCTCCACTAACTCATGGAGCACAGACTGAGTCTGTGGAAGCTCAAACACTCTCCCTCACACATTCACCTACTCTTTGTTATTCTGATAAATATTCGACCATTTTCCAAAAATTGAAAAAATAATTAGATAATATATTTGTTATTCAGAAAATCATAAATACAAACAGATGAAGTTCAGTCAGTGAACTGACCTGAGAGCCTCCAGTCTGCAGTTTGGACTCTTTAGTCCAGAACTCAGCAGCTTCACTCCTGAATCCTTCAGATTGTAGTTCTGAGTCAGGTCCAGCTCTCTCAGATGGGAGGGGTCAGACTTCAGAGCTAAGGCCACGACTTCATAGTGAGTCTCTGACAGTCTACAGTGAGTAAGTCTGTAATAACACATATATTACAACATGTGTTAAAAAAGAGGAAACATTATATTAATGTCAAACATTTGATGAAAAAATATGACATATGTTCTGATTGACATTTGCTGTTAGTCCATTTAATATTACATATAATAATATATTATAATATAGTTTAATATGTGTTATCAGTAGGGATGGGTATCGAGAACCGGTACTAAGTCAGTACCGGTAGCCGATTGGACGGTATCGGTATACCGTTAAGCCGCTGGACAAACCGTGCTGCTATCGGTATATGAATTAAGCTACTTCCTTAGTTTAAACAATTCTGGTTTGTTGGGAACACTCATCCCGTGTAACGTACCGGTTTGAGTACCCCTCTGATTGGCCACTGTGAATGCCACTCGTCATCTCTCCTAACAGTGCTCTTATTATTGTGAGACTCCCGGGGGCAGACTCAACATCTTGCAAGAAACAGCGTCTCAAGGCTTCTTAACATTTAACAACCTATTAATGATGCATACCCACTTAACGGGAAGAAACTCAGCTAACAGACGATATTAACCATTTTTACCTACACGGAACAGAAGTCCAACACCAAGTCTAAATCAAAACTTACTGAACTAGCAGCCAGGAAAGAGCAAGAAAACAACTTGCTACTTTACGTAGCCATGATGATAATTATGTCTTACCTTTGCTGTTTTGTGATCAAAAGTTGTGTTCAAGGGCATACAAACGCTGCTGAAGGTTAATCCAATGTCTCTGTGTAACTTTGAAATGATTACTGATAATCCATTATTACAATTATAAATAATAAACGCAATAAACGGATTATAATGGTTAGCCGACCGGAGCTTCCGGTTTAGGAGGTGTGCATGCAACGTCTCGTTTTAACTGACCAATGATCATGTTTACATGGATTTATGAACTGTAGTGATGTGACGTTCGCGAACGATACAATTCTTTTGAACGGCTCTTTGGTACGAACGAAGGGAACCGAGTCGTACTTGGTGAGAGACGTTCTTTTTATCGTTGGTTCACTGGCCTATACCCCAGGCTCAACAAGCTCATGGCGGAAAGGCTTTGCATTGTGGCAACGTCAGTTCCATCAGAGAGAATATTCTCCAAGACTGGACAAATCATCTCAGAGAGGAGAAATCGCAATAAGCCCTCAAAAGTGAGGGAACTTGCTTTCCTGAATACAAATTTGCCAGTTAAAAAACGTCTCTTTTGAACGGCTCTTTTGAACGTCTCTTTTGAACGTCTCTTTTGAACGGCTCTTTTGAACGGCTCTCGGAAAGGAACGGAGCCATAAGATCCGGCTCCCTTGAAAGAGCCCTAATTCCCATCACTAATGAACTGCCCCTAATAACCGCCCCACACTGTCAAACACACTCATACCTTCTTGGTATGACATTGAACAAGTTACATTAAATAATGAATACAAATAAATTACAATAAAATGACTGTTTAATCTTCACATCTTGTAATCATGTCTATCATTTTGAGCACCAAATTATTGAAAAGTATCGATAAGAGTATCGAAAAATACCGGTATCGATAAGCAGTATCGGTATCAGTATCGATAAAATCCTAACGATACCCATCCCTAGTTATCAGTGTGATCTGATCACATGTCTGTGCTCCTGCTGTCAGTGCCTCTTACCAACAGAAACAGACATGAAATAAATCTTGACAATATTAGAGATGTACATATTTAAATGTTAATTAATATGTGGATGTGAATGATGGATGAAGGATGTTTTGGCTTCTCTGAGCATCTGAAAATGTATTGCGCACACAAACACAATTAACAAACCAATAAAGTTTCAATATTTTCAACTGAATACCATCAGATGTTCCCAGTATATCAGCATTAAGACATTACTCTGTTATTGGTGGGAAATGATATAGATCTTATTTTAAACTCTAATACATTTTGCTAAAAACATGTGTGTTTAATGATAAAGAAACTACTAGACAGTAATAAGTGCTTTCTCTGATAACTGTAACGGCCCGTCCACACAGCGGCGTGCGTTGAAGCTTGCCGGCCTGCGTGTCTGAAACTCGACCAACAACCAATCACATGAATCTCCCGCCCCTGACACACAAGCAGCGGTTTGATTGGCTAGAGCTTGTACTGGCATATGATTGGATTGGCTGACGCTTCTGCCGAGGCTTCAAAAGTTGAACATTGCTCAACTTTTGCAGCGAGCCACGCCAGCAAAGCTCCGCTTCGCTTCCCACAATGCAGTTCGGCGAAAAGTGACGTCACCCCATTCAAAGTGAATGGTGAAGCTTTCAACGCACGCCGCTGTGTGGACGGGCCGTAAGTCCTGCTGTGTGGTGTGATCACATGCTGAGAAACCTCTAAAGTCCTTCATGTGTTTGACATGTCGCCTCCATCACTCAATATGAAGAGAGAAACGGTTCAATTGAACTATTATTATAAATAAATAGAAGAACAGCGTTTATTTTATTTTGCTCTCTCAGTATTTAAACAGCAGAAATGTTATAGTGTTTATTTGACTAATTTAACTTCTGATCCACATTAGTTCATAAAGTTAATCACATCTGGACTTACTTGGCCTTCCTGCAGTTCCTCACAGCTGGAATCAGTCTCCGTCGTCCCTCCTGTGATGTTTTGTACTGATTCAGGTCAAACTCATCCAGAACCTCCTCTGACATCTGCAGCATGTAGGCCAGAGCAGAACAGTGGATCACAGAGAGTTCCTTCTCTGATCTGTTCCCTGACTTCAGGAACTCTGTGATCTCCTGATGTACTGAGTGGTCCTTCATCTCTGTCAGACAGTGGAAGATGTTGATGCTCCTGTCCGGAGAGATTTCATCACTTCTCATCTCCTTCAGGTTGCTGATGGCTTTCTCGATGGTTTCTGGACGGTTGTCTGTGCGACCCAGCAGGCCTCCTAACAGTCTCTGGTTGGACTCCAGAGAGAGGCCGTGGAGAAAGCGGACAAACAGGTCCAGGTGGCCATTTTCACTTTGGAGGGATTTCTCCATGGCTCCCTTTAGGAAGACATCCAGGGATGGGTAATCCTGACCCCCCTGCAGGAAGTCCTTCAGTACCTCTGTGTCTCTGTTGGAGTAACAGTGCAACATGTAGACTGCAGCCAGAAACTCCTGAATGCTCAGATGAACAAAGCAGTAGACTGTTTTATGGAAGACCACACTCTCTCTTTTGAAGATCTGTGTACAAACTCCTGAGTGCACCAAGGCCTCTGTGACATCAAGACCACAGCGCTGCAGGTCTTCTTGGTAGAACATGATGTCTCCTTTCTCCAGATGTTCAAACGCCAGCCTCCCCAGCTTCAGAAGAAGCTCCCTGTCAGCCTCCGTCAGCTGCTGTGGACTCGTCTCATGTCCCTCTTCATACTTCTGCTTCTTCCTCTTGGTCTGGACCAGCAGGAAGTGTGAGTACATGTCAGTGAGGGTCTTGGGCAGCTCTCCTCTCTGGTCTGTAGTCAACATGTGGTCCAGAACTGCAGCAGTGATCCAGCAGAAGACTGGGATCAGACACATGATGTGGAGGCTCCTGGAGCTCTTGATGTGAGAGATGATTCTGCTGGACAGGTCTTCATCACTCCATCTCCTCCTGAAGTACTCCTCCTTCTGGGCGTCAGTGAAGCCTCGTACTTCTGTTACCCTGTCCACACACTCAGGAGGGATCTGATTGGCCGCTGCGGGTCTGGAAGTTATCCAGACGAGAGCTGAGGGAAGCAGCTCCCCCCTGATGAGGTTTGTCAGCAGCACGTTGACTGAGGACTTCTGTGAGACATCAGACACAACCTCATTGTTTCTGAAGTCCAGAGAAAGTCTGCTTTCATCCAGGCCGTCAAAGATGAGCAGCACTTTGCAGACAGCCAGCTGCTCTGCTGTGACCTTCTGTAAGGTTGGATGGAAAACATGGAGCAGCCTGAGAAGACTGTACTGCTCACCTTTGATCAGGTTCAGCTCCCTGAAGGAGAGCGGGATCACCAGACTGACATCTTGGTTTTCCAAACCCTCGGCCCAGTCCAGAGTGAACTTCTGCACTGAGAAGGTTTTTCCAACTCCAGCGACACCGTTGGTCAGGACCGCTCTGATGAGAGTCTGTTGGTCAGGTGAGGCTTTAAAGATGTCCTGGCACTTGATTGGAGTGTCATGGAGGGTCTTCTTCTTGGAAGCTGTCTCCAGCTGCCTCACCTCATGTTGGGTATTAACCTCTTCACTCTGGCCTTGTGTGATGTAGAGCTCAGTGAAGATCCTGTTGAGGAGGGTTTCACTTTCATCAGTTCCTTCAGTCACACGTTCACATCTCCTCCTCAGACTGAGCCTATGTTCATCTAAAACCTCCTGCAGACCACTATCTGCTGGAAGAGAAGGGAACAGGAGAGAATCAGGAACATGCTCTGAGAATCTAATTAAAAAACAGAGTTTAAATGTTTTATAAACAGCTTACTGTCTATGCTCTACAACAGTATACCTATTCAAAAACAAATGAACCAGGAAGAGGAATAAGACGCTGCATGTGTTCGGCCTCTTACCTCGTACAGTTGTGGTCTGACTGGCAGGACTTCTCCTCTTCCCTCTGTGGAGATGAACACATCCTTTATAGCACTTTACATTCGTGGAGCTGATTCTCACCAACGGGCAGAGCGTCACAAACTTCACACTCAAGATTAAATGTTTCTCGCTGCACGAATACGCCCGTGACATGAATTTCACTTCTTCACTTCATTCTTGTTGCCAGGCAAAGATCTGGGTCTTTGCGTTGACTCTACATGTGATCTCAAAGAACTCTGTTATATCTGCTAATGCTAAACACAACCAGCTCACCAGGTATTTACTTTTAATAATAAACATCTTAAAAATACCTTAACATGCCAAGGTAGTAAATAATGTTTTGGACGATATACTTTGTTTTTAGTTAGTATTCATCAACATTTTCTACTGTAAATAATGACACTATAATTGCATATTGAAATATCCTTAAATAACGTTAGCTTGCTGTACTCTAATGCCTTTTTCCTAAACTGCTCACATGATATCATTAAAGAACAGTTTAATATATCAGGTTATATAAAACGGAATCCTCTTCAGGTCAGTTACAGTAGAAACAGACTCTTACTTAGTGTCTGAGGGTCCAGGTTCTTTACTGAAGTTTATAGGGTTCATCATAGACCGGTCACTCTTCAGAGACAGACAGCTGGAGACTGGAGACTGCGCTCTCTGTCTGTGGAAACAACACGTTTTAAACATCATTAGTTCATCTAAAGAGCAGCTTTTGATTTCTGTCTGTTTGCCTGAGTAAATATTTTTAAAGTTGTTCTGAACTTTCTATTTTTGCATCATGCTTGTGGGTTTCTGTTGTTACAATTCATTTGAGAGAGAAATGTTTCACATGTTTGTATTTTATTTGCTGAGGCTCACCTAACACTAAGTCTGACATGTCGAGACTTCTTTCTTGGGACACATTTGACAGGATTTGAACATGGAGGAGTTTGATCATTCACTAATGTGAGAAGACAGTACTAACAAACATGGTGGACAGCCTACATTCATTCATGTGCATCAGAAACAGAATGAAGAAGGGAGGGTTGGGTCAGTTCATCCATTTTGCACCAAAATCCCCAAGAAGAAAAACTACTAACATAAGAAAAAAAAAAAAAAATACTTTAGCATGTAATGACAATCACATTACATTACTTACATTATTTCATAACATTATGTTCTTTGTTTCTTACAAAGGACTACTGTGGAGGTTGATGTAGTGTTGCCCATCTCCACCTGAACAACAGTTAATCAGCTTCTCCCGCTCATGAAGCTTAGTCCAACATGTAGAGCGTGAGAATGATTTCACTAGTAGATTATTTACTATCTCTGATGATGCCAAGGATCAAGAGTTCAATCTTACTTTATTACTGTACTCTACTGAGTTTCTTCACATCAATCATTAAACAACAGTTCAGATGATCAGATACCAACAAACTGAATCCTCTTCAGGTCAGTCTACAGTAGAAACTCTTACTTTGTGTCTGAGGGTCCAGGTTCATCACTGAAGAGTGGAGGAAAGTCTTTAGACCGGTCACTCTTCAGAGACAGCCAGCTGGAGACTGGAGACTCTGCTCTCTGTCTGTGGAAACAACACGTTTTAAACATCATTAGTTCATTCAAAGAGTAGCTTTTGACTTCTGTCTGTTTGCCCGAGTAAATTGTTCTGAACTTTCTATTTTTGCATCATGCTTGTGGGTTTCTGTTGTTACAATTCATTTGAGAGAGAAATGTTTCACATGTTTGTATTTTATTTGCTGAGGCTCACCTAACACTAAGTCTGACATGTCGAGACTTCTTTCTTGGGACACATTTGACAGGATTTGAACATGGAGGAGTTTGATCATTCACTAATGTGAGAAGACAGTACTAACAAACATGGTGGACAGCCTACATTCATTCATGTGCATCAGAAACAGAATGAAGAAGAAGGGAGGGTTGGGTCAGTTCATCCATTTTGCACCAAAATCCCAGAGAAGAAAAACTACTAACATACGAAAAAATAATAAAATACTTTAGCATGTAATGACAATCACATAGTACATTATTTCATAACATTGTGTTCTTTGTTTCTTACAAAGGACTACTGTGGAGGTTGATGTAGTGTTGCCCATCTCCACCTGAACAACAGTTAATCAGCTTCTCCCGCTCATGAAGCTTAGTCCAACATGTAGAGTGTGAGAATGATTTCACTAGTAGATTATTTACTATCTCTGATGATGCCAAGGATCAAGAGTTCAATCAAACTTTATTACTGTACTCTACTGAGTTTCTTCACTTCAATCATTAAACAACAGTTCAGATGATCAGATACCAACAAACTGAATCCTCTTCAGGTCAGTCTACAGTAGAAACTCTTACTTTGTGTCTGAGGGTCCAGGTTCATCACTGAAGAGTGGAGGAAAGTCTTTAGACCGGTCACTCTTCAGAGACAGACCGCTGGAGACTGGAGATGTGTCCTCTCCCTCATCTTTTAAATCACTCATCTTCTTCAGTCTGAGTGATAAACCATTAACCCTAGAGACACACACACACAGTACACACACATTATAACACACTTGTTTCAATCGAAACCATAATAATAATAAACTTGGTTAAAATACATGAAATCAGTCAGACTTCAAACAGGCCGCTCTCCATTCTGACTGTGCTGGGCTGTCACATGTTATGTAACTCTGATGAATCAGAAAAACATTTAATACAAAATGCTTACAACACTTTCAGAAGTCTCCTTGGACTCTAGGACGCTGATTTTTAACCCATAACTTATGTTCTTACATCTAGTTTAACAGAGTAAATATTGAATATGTTAAAAAGCAGATCCTGGTGTTAACACTCACCCTGTTGTCCTCCTGCTCCGTCCAGGTGTAAAATGGCGTCTGGAAGTCTGTCTTCATACTTCACTTTAACACCCTCACCTGTCTGCAGCTCCTCCCCTTGTTTTATGATAAGCCTTATCAGCTGAACAGGTACACATGCAGGGATTATTATCAATAAGATAGAAATAGATATGCAGCTAAAAACAAGCTCAACAAAGTTATTGAAATAAAAATATGAATACCACAATACTACAGTTTAGAATTTGAGCACCTCAACACTTTATAACCGCTCTAAACAATGCGCAATGTGTGGTTTGTTGTCGTAGATTGCGTTGTTGCTGTTGAGTTGTTGGTATTGCATTTGTATTGGATCATTATAGAGAGCAAGCCAGGAAGAAAGATAGGTCGTTCTGTCTCGGGAAACACTTCAACATGTGGAGAAGTTGTGAAGAAAAAAGACAATCGCCAGCATCCAAAGAAACGTTTGAAAGTGTAATGAATGGATAGTGGATCGAGCCGGTGGCCCACGTCTGGCATCGTCCTCCGTGAGACTGGTTGGAATCCTGGGCTGGATGAACTTTGAATCAATGCCCGCTTTTCATCTTTAAACATGACTGACCTTCTCCGGCCAAGAAATGTGCTTAGAAAAACAAAACATAAAAAGAATAATGTACCTCAATAGAGATCTTTGCGTGTTCCCTTGATTTGCCCATCACTACCGCTCTGCTCTACAGACACCGTCAGAGCAACCCAAAATCACTTGTGGCCAGAGGTTTATATCTGTTAAGCCCCTCCCCATAGGCCAATCAACTAATTATAAACTTAATTATTGTTATTCTTACTACCTACAAATGTATTCAAAATGTATTTCAAACTAATTCAACACAGTAAATCAAATAGGTCAACATCTTCTACTTTTTCTGACCACAGAAGCCTTAAACAATTACACTTTTAATATTTAGAAGATATTGTCCCTCGTGCCCATGCACTACATGGTACGGTCCAATCGAGCACAGGTGTTCCACTGATTGAGCCCCTACTTAAGGTGCAGTTTTCTGTTGCTCTGTTTGGAACTTCACAACTTTGAATGAGAGGGTGAGCAGGTTCCTTTGGCACAGCATTGTTACGTTAAGTATGATTTAAAATAAAGCTGTCTGAACCAAATAATGACTTGGGTTTTATTTTACCAATGTCCAGCAAAAATGTCAAATTACAAGTTATTAATGTGTTTCCCTGAGTGTGCCTTTTACTATGCCCCTATGCCAGCTGTGACGAAGAGGTCTTTGTCACACAAACACCAAATCAGTGCTCAAATAGAGAGGAATGAACATCTCTGAAAGAATGAGGCGCTGCTTGGATTTGAACCCAGGACCTCCTGTTTACGAGACAGGCGCTTTAACCTCTAAGCGACAGCGCCTTGTTCTTCTTCTTTGTAGAACTATTTTATTTTTCCCTTGGTGTATTATCAGTCCAGCTATGTTCAATGTGGAGGAAACTTCTGTGTAGTAATGCATTGGGAGTCACCGACTCAGGAAAGAGACACGGTGAGAGTTGGAGCTTTGATGTCAAACACTGATGGGTTTATTCAGAGTATTCGGCCGGAGGATTCACATCACAAGTCAAAGAGTCAGAGGTTCTGACTACACGGTAGAGTTGCCACGTCAATTCTGAAGAGCCTCTCTCTATGCTAGACCTTTTAACTGGTTCACAGAGAGAAATCAACATCTCTGAAGGAGTAGACTAAACACTGAATTTGTGTCTGACACTCATGGCCTCAAGGATTTCACATCCTAGAGCCCACAAACACCGATAAAGAAGTGCCTCAGCGTTCTCACAACAATTACCCTTCGTGCCAGACAAGTTGACCGGTCACACACTGGTGACAACAACACATATGGCACCAAGGCCTTTCCTTACAGGAGATAACAGACGTCAGAGTAAAAGGTTAGATATCTAGAAGAATTATTCCTTAACAGTTCCTCTCTTTTTATCATTTTTGATAACCTTAAAACATTAGTCTAATAATTCTGGTCAATACTTAAATCAATAGGCGTCTTCAGATTCGAGTGTGGTCTCACCTTACATTCAATTACATCACAAAGTAGAGTAAGATTGAAACATTCAATCACAATGATTGATACAGGCAATCATAATAGGAAAAATTATCTCTCATCAGTGTTTGGAGCATCTTTTGTCAATAAGTACAATAATGAACACACATAAAAACACAGATACATAATAGCAAAATATTTGTTTTAAACTAATATCTTTTATCATTTAAACCATTAGTTAATGTCATTTATCAAACTATAAAATCAAAACCAGAAACAGCTTAAAGATTTGCTTTAAGGCAATCACTAGTCAAAAGCATTTAAAACGTAGGATCATAAGAGATCCAGCTAAGGCATAACATTCACAGTGGTGATTTGATCAATCTGTAATCCACAAAGTTGCAGTGTCCTCAATTTTAGGATTACTTTACGTTTACTTCATTACGCTTTAGTCAAGAGTAAGGCACTTAGTCTTAGAAAAATCAATACATTCATTTTAGTCAAGTACATTGTTCAAAATCTGAAAAGGAAAAGTTAGGCAAATATTCAAAGACTTTTGTAAAAACCGGGAAAGGAAGGATTAAACATTCTTAAAACTTTAATTCATACATTTGTAAATGCTACAACTGATCTGTACCAAATTAAGTCTATCAATTATTCTTATTAGCCATACTTACCTGATCATCTACTTATGGTACTTGGAAAGGGTTCTTCTGTGTTTATCTAATGTTGAATATGGAATATCAATTTCTTTAAATTATACTTCTCTAATTTGAGGATCAAATATGCTACATAATTGTTATATTAATTATTATAAATATTTGTTTTGGGCCAAAACTGAAATGAATCCAGTACTTGAAACATCATTTTAGGTCTGTCTGTTCATGGACAATACATTAAAGAGTAGTGTTGTTAAGCCTGATTGCTGGATGATTAAGGATATTAACATTATCTGTTATAATATTAGAAATACCTTATTATTCAATACCTTATAATCTGAGAATATTTATTTATTAATTTTGTTTAGTGTGAAAGTGTAATCTGATCTGACAAAATATATTTATCACCACTATTTAACACATGTCTGGTCATTGGAAATATAAAAAACAATCATTAATTGTACATCTTTAAACATCTGGACATTCAATTCAAAGTTCATCTTTGTACGAGAGCTGGAAGAACATGTCCGTCAGGCTTCCTGACTCGTTCTCCTCCTCCCTTTATGACACAGAGTGTCTGGTGTGTAAAGGCATCCTGATACTGTAGATTAGCACTGAGGTGCTGATTGGCTCAAACTCTTCTTCATCAGAGCGCCATATTTCAACCCCCCAATTGCTCTGCTTTTGTGTGGCTCATTCAGTGAGCACTGTAGCTGACCCCCCAGTGAGACGGAGGCTCATCTGCCGGTATTCCTTCTGCTATCTGCTTGAGTACAACTGCGTATTCCTGATGCATCCAGGTGTCCCCCCCGTGATGGGAGAGGTTAGGAAGACATCAAACTCCTCCAAGAAACATGGAACATTGTATTATAGAAACCTCTGAAGCCCTCGCTCGTCCTGCAGGGTTGTCTGCTAGAGCCCACCGAGCAGAAAGATGAAGAGAAGAACCCCCTCTTATCAGAAAGGTGAAGAGAAGCATCCCATCTCGAACGACCTTGTGCTTCCTTGCACGTGGCTGGGGGTGCTCTCTGCACGCGGAGAGTGTGACCATCTCTCTCTGACCCTTGGCCTTGAGAGCTGTCCTAGTTATTGGGTTAACACCTGATAGGGATGTTTTTCTGAGTGAAGACAACTCAAAGTAATGGATTAGCACATTATCATTTAATTACAAAAATAGGCCCCTCAGAATTATTTGGGAGCCTTCCTGACACATGCACATTATCATTTTGAAGGTTTGTGTTAGTCATTGAACATGCAAGAATCATATACTCATCAGTCCATAGCAGAGACATGTTATTGTAAGTTAAAGGTGAGCTTGTCCCTGTGGATATAACCCCTTCTCAATGATTCTAAATGTATATTAATTCACCATTTACCTTTTGATAAAATATTAGTTTATCAGAAATATAATAAATTACTCAATATAATTGACTCTTCCCTCCCTTTTCTTACATATCGTACATATGAAATAATAACTTAGGAGTCTATTTAAGCATGGTATAGTTTATAATCTATTAATCGTAGTACTCAGTATCACCTGTGTGCAGCTTACAAAAAACCATTGTGAGAAACATATATTATGCAGGAAATTGATACATTTGTTGAAAAACAAAGCATATCTGATTTGGGAGGAAAAGTTTCATCCCTTTAACATCTGAGTTATTACTGAAGGCATAGCATGAATGATATTGGGTGGCTGAGGGTGTCCTTACTGAGAAATGTCAAACAAAATCAAAACCTTACATTTGAAAACGGGTTTGCATTCCTCCACTGAAGGTGACGTTATCATTGGAAACAATAAAAGCTAATTGTTTTGATGTAGAATCTATATATTGAATCGTTAGAGCAGAACAGAATGGTTGTATTGTAGCCTGAGTTTTGTGCAGCCTTTAGTTTTACCAGGTGGAAACATTGTCTATATAATGTGAATACATGTAGAACTAGACATTAAGAGACCCCTGACATTAGGCCTATTTGAACAATAGTAGGGGCTTTTACCAGCTCGCCCACTTACAGGCATCCTCTGCATAGCAGTATGAATAGCCTTAAAAACAACCCACTCTGCGGTAACGAGAGTCATGTATCTGAACCAAATGCCCTAAGTGAAGCCGTTAGTCTCATCTGACTGACCCAAGGGTTGGTGCTGGTGTGACAGGGAGGCTTCCAAGTGTTCATAGCAGATGTCATGCTTTCAGTTCATGGCTCAGTGGGGGGGAGCAGACCCATGTGAGACAGTATCAACAGCTGTAATGTTCAGTTTGAGGAGTGTCATTCTCTCTGGGAGCAGAAAATGGTGTCCATTCAGACCAGACCATTAATGTCATG